ATTGGTCAGACAGGAACATTGTGTCGGTCTCGCCCTCATGTGGTGTTTGCAAGTAACGATGTTGACATTACTCTTGGACATTATGGAATATATTTTGTAAGACTGTTTGGAAATTACATATCCTAATGCGTAGGTAACTTTACAGTATGCGTTTTATCCCTTAGCTGTAAACACAGAGACAGTATCTGATAAGAGTAGAACTGGAACATTTAACACTGTCAGATAAGTATGGTACCATAGTAATACATTATGAATCGAATCCTGAATACTTTCGCTTCAGCTTTTTGTATATGGTGCCTATTGTAAGCAGTCCAGCAATCTGACCGGCGAATTCGCAGATCTTGTAAACGATCCGAAATCACGTGGAACAATCTTGCTCGCATTTGGGACAATCCTGAACTGGAAGGAAGCCCCAGCTGAACAACGCGAAGCTTTCGCTGAAGCTCTCAACAAACTCCCGGATTATCGTATCATCTGGGCATGTCGCCAATGTCCAGCAATGAACCTCGGCAGTCATGTTAGGCTGTTAGATTGGATACCACAGCAGGAACTACTCAATCATCCACGCACCAAGCTCTTCATCACTCATGGCGGACTTAAGAGGTAGGCTTAGAATTTATTCATTTCTAGCAGATTTCGCACCTCTTTTTTCAGAAACTTAGGTACTTTTGGCCGCGTAGGAAGTGAAGCTTACTGTATGTCTGTTAATCATATATATATCTTGTATATATCGTCTACTCTTGCCAACATGTGCTGCGCATGTTTTTCCAGTTCGCAGTTTTTCGCATTTACTCGTAAGAGCAATTGTGTATGTGCATGTACATACATTCGCGTATGCTATGTTCACATGTGTGCATGAACATATTACCCGTTCGTATGCAGTAAACGGAGCCCTTTCTCGAAAATTGTTTTGAAACGACAAGGAATCGAACTACTTCTCCTCACGTGTTGCCACTACACCATCAGTCCTTGTGCAGATTCAACCAAGCAGGACACCTACTGTGTATGTGCCTTTCAAGGCAAGATACATCTTTCTTTCTCTTTTTCTTGGTGGAGGCTTTTTGGTCAGTCACTCGCGGGTTTTCCCCGACATCACTTCCATGCTCCCAATTCTTTGCTGACATACAGCTGTCAAGATTAGCAAAATCTTCCAGGCTGTTGATTTCGAGTTACAGTGTTGCTAGGACGCAAACACATGCCATGAGCTCCAGTAAATTTCTTGTAGAACGAGGGTTGTAAAGATTTTGATGAGGTAAAATTTCAGCCTTAAGGAAGCAACATGTGCAAAAATGCCAACTTTATTTTTGCCAATTTTTGGTGAACAAGTGCGGAATTCATGGCTCGCGTATCATCACGGTTTCGGACAAATTATCAATAAATTCAATGTTACAGCCGATTACCTCTTATCACTTATTCAGGATATGCTTAGCAACCCATCTTACAAACAAAATGCCGAGAAACTGAGGAGGTGTGGCTTTTTGTTACTTTGAATTAATCCCATTATTTATAAGCCAAGTTGACTGAAGATTCATTGCGCAGATATTTCTTAAGAGGCGTTTACCTGCCGTGTGTGGCAGTAGAACCCTGCAGGTAAAGGTTAGGCACTACTCCAGCACTTTAATAACAGTTTTTTCATCATTGCTTTCCTTCTCAAGGTCGATATATTTCACTTTTCTTCGTTCTAAGCTTACATTAAACGCGCAAATTTGTTAAAGTTAAAAAAAACGAAACTTCTAAGTACTATTTTCAATAAATTGTTGCTGCAAATGTCCGGTTAGTGAATGTACCGTTACAGTGAAGAGTCATAGTGCGCTGTCATGATCACCGTAATCGCCGAGACAGTCAGTGTGTATATCCAATGTTAATGATGTTATTGGGAGTTCTCAAAAGATGCGGATTTAAAATAATTAATTCAAAGACTACCACAGCTTGTCTTTTATGAATTCGGAAGAATCCTAATTCGAGAAGTTTGCAGTTACTTCGAGGATGCGCCGATCCCGCCACTGCAGGAAGGGGCGTTTAAAATCAAGCGCCTGATCAAATATGGTGGCCGAATGCCGGAATATTTCTACACACGATCCATTAACATCGACTACATTCGATATCTGAATCTGGATCTCATTTTGCTGATTCCCTCACTAACTTGTTTGTTGCTATTAGTAAAATAAAGCCGTTCTACCTCAAAATCTCAAACGCAGGTGTATACTGAACTGCGCACCAAGTTTAATTGTCAGTCATTTTAAGACTGCTACGCTACCCAGGTTCTCTAGTTGCCCAGATTCTCTAGAATCCACTTCAGGTACCTTAATCGTATGCTAGCGTTAAAATGCCACGAGTCACTTTCGAACACATTTAGAATAAGTGGGACAGGTACTAATTCATAAACTGCTTTTCAAGCTACGCATATGATAACTTTTCCAGTTGCTTTGACCAATGTTTGTATCTCCTGATAGTCAGCCTGCTAAAAGTCCTGATGTTGTAGCGTTCTGTGGAGCAATTATCAGCTCAAGGGTTCTCTGAATAGAGGCATTTTAGCAAGACTTCAGTCGTTTCAATATGCTCTTGGTGTCCAAGCAGCATCGATAAGTTATCCCGAATTTCGTCAACCCCAAACTGTAACAAAGTACCATACTAACAAGAAAGTACTGATATATGAAAGTAGTACTATATGACAAAATAGGGCGCACCGTTCTCAAATTCTGACTCAAAAGCCGATCTGCACTTGGAAAATTCTGCTTTCCTATGGAGAGAAGAATTAATAGCCTAGTCTCACAGAAAATGCTCTGTGTCAAGAATTAATTTGCTCTTCTGTCTCTCCCTCTGATCTTTCTCTCCCTCTTTCTTCTTATATCCATCTTGTAAATTAGTC